TATATTTCATTAAGTTTTTTTCTGCCCAGCAACCGAGCTGAGGTCACCCCTGATTACGGGGGGGGGTACGGGGTGGGGGGTTCCAGGACCCCAGTGCTGGTACCTGCGTGGAGGCGAAGCCCCCGTAGGGGTTTTGCTGTTTGCTGAGCCAGCGGACGATTTGGGATGCAGTCCCCAGCTCAGCAGTGGACACTTGGGGCTGGGAGAGGTAGGCCAGGAGGACGTAGGAGGTCATCTCCACCTCTGCTGGTGCAGCTGCAGCCCAGGAGGGCTGTGATGAGGACAGAACCTTCCCCTTCCTCTGCCAGTAAAGCTGTCCCTCTGGGAGAGAAGGAGGTGGGAGCTCATCTCCCCAGGGGTCCCAGGGGACTGGGGGTGGGATGGGGTGACCCAGGCAGAGGGTGGCACTGCCCAGAGGTGACCTTGCCCACGCTGGGTGGTACCTGTGCTGACTCTGTGCTGTTCCAGGCTCTGCAGTTGGGTTTGCTGCTGCTCCCCACGCCCCGCCAGCCCGAAGACGTAGGCAAGCAGAGCCTGGGTGTAGGGGTCTTCGGTGGCTGAAGCCTCCAGGCACTGCAGGGCTGAGCTCACCTTCGGGTCCTGGCATGGGATGGGAGTCAGGAGCCAGCCCACAAGCATCACTCAGAGCCCAGTTCTTCCCAGTGAGACCAGTTGCACCCAGTCTGGCTAAGAGGTAGCATCACACAGCCAGACCCCCTGTCCCAGCACCTGTCCTCACCCCACCAGCTCCTCTGGGGAAGATGGGGTCATCCTCACCGTTGGGGACAGTCCCAGCTCCAGCATCGCAGCTGTGACATAAGCTGACAGTGAGAGCTCATCCGAGACACCACCCTACAAAGGGGACACCAGGAGATGGGTCCAGCCATGCCGTGCCACCAACACGTGGGTAGGATCTGGGGGATGCAGCAGGGTCTACTGCCTAGACCACCCATCAAGGACATGCTGGGATCAAGCCAGCTCTGGCCACATGTCCCACCCCACTGACCCACCTGCAGGGCGTTGTTGAAGAGCTTCCCCACGCTGCGGAAACAGCCTGTCTTCTGCTGGTTCTTCTGCAGCCAGTGCAAGGCGTCGGTGATGTGCCGCTCCTCGATGGCCACGTAGGCTCTGGCTTGTCCAAAGGACTTGAGGACAAATGCTGTCAACCTGAGAGATGTCGAAGGGATGGGTGAGCAGGGCTGGGGTGTGTTTCATGGAAGGAGAAGCCCCAGGATGGCTGGTTGCTGGAGGGAAGCTCCTGCACAGCCTCCTGGAGCCCTGTCTGGTCCCTCACCAGGTGTTGCCACTGGAATCGCTCTTCCCAAAGGCACTGTAGGACCCATCATCATGTTTGTAGAGCAGCTCTCGCTGGTACCCTGCAGGGAGGAGATGGGGACGAGGGTTTACCTGGTGGTTTTTATACCCACAGGGCAACCTGGAGCCCCAGACCCACCCCAGGGTGCAGGTAGACATGGGGTGGTTGTGTACCTCAACAGCAAGGCAGGGTGGGACGGGGAGGGGACCGGGGACACTCACCGCTCTGCAGGAAGCCCTGCGCCTTGGCACGGATGTCGGGGTGCAGCTGCCCGCTCTTCTCCAGGTACTGCTGGATGTAGATGTTGGGGGCGAAGCGGACCATGTTCTGCTCCCCACAGCCATAGGGCATGGCCAGGAGGTGGTCCAGGTTCTGCAGAGCATTGCCCATGATGTCACCTGTCCCAGTGAGACATGAGGAGCACCATCATCAGCTGTGCACCCCCATATCCCCTCCCATCTCAGCTCTGGGTGGTCCAACCTCCTGCTGAGCTTGGGCCATGGAGCTCTGCACCATCCCTGCCCCAGGTGGTCCCTTGTTCCCCTCCTGTCCCTTACCCATCACGGTGACATGGGCTCGCTGGGAGCCCTCCAAGACATTTGCAGGAACCTCCAGGGAGATTTCTTCAGCGCCTGTGGGGATGGAGGGCAGTGACAATGGGAATTCCCAGCTCCTCCTGGCCTGGCCCCATGGAGGAGACCCTTGCCCACCCCCTTCCTGCTCTGACCATCCATGGGCTCAAGGCTGAGTTGGGGCATCTCAGCTGGGATCTCCTACAGACCCTGGTCCTTGGGTCCTCTGCCTTGGTGACTTTCATGACCAGTAGCGAAGTGTCCCTTCCCCATGTCCCCATGTCCCCATGTCCCCATGTCCCCATGGCACTACCAGACCAGTCCTACCTTCCTGGCAGAGCAGGGAGTTGTGTGCCTTCTCCACCAGGATCCCCCCGGGCTGTGGGGAAGCACCATGAGTCAGTCAGGAGAAGGGACCAGCCGCGTCCCCCCTGGGCCATGCCT